GGAGGGAGGGAGGGAGGGAGCCCAGCAAGGCTCCTTTGATCTTTGAGTGGTTGGGTGCAAGAGGGGATTTTGGCAGATGCATTTTTATCATGCACAGAGGAGAAAAAAAGCTGGATATGTTGGAATTCCTCCTCCTATGCCACAGTCAAAAGGGCACTCTCTCTTCCTTTGCCTCCTCATGTACAGAAACAAATGCCCTGGTGATTCTCCCCTTTTAAGAGGGGAGGGGTGCTGCTTGTATAGATTGTGGCACAATCCACAGGTGGGTCCTGAAGACCAGGGAGTGAGAGTGTGATGAGGGCTATTAAAATGAAGCCATGTCAGGGGCAGGAATTATCTCATTTTTCAGTTTTTTTAAAAAAGTCTTGCCTGCTCTGCCCAGATGGCATCCGAATTCTCTGCCACTGTTTTTTCCCTCTCTCCCTGGCAGATGCAACGCATGAAGACAATTTTAGAGCAGAGAAAGAAGCTGATAAAGGCGGGGAAATACACCCCACCTGACTACCACGCAGGGAAACTGGACACTGACCCTTGAACATTTGCTGCAGACCCTCAAGACAGCAGAACAGAGAGTGCTTCGCTGCCTGTCAGCTTGGAGTTGGGGATTTTTATTCTACCAGTGCCGTCTGTGTGAGAGAGCCAAGATGGGCTCTTGCATCTGTCCTGTTGCTATCCAACTCTGCTTCAGTGTATGCCACTGCCTGTTGCTGGTTGGAATAAAAAAAATCTTTCCTGGTTCTCAAGCGTTGCTTGCTGTGAGATCTACACACACACCACAACAGCCAGGTAAATTATCTGTTTACCAGGCAGGAGCAGAGTCAGCCGGAACACCAAAAATTCAGCTGTTGAATGGAGCTTGCCATTTCATCTGAGCCCATCTGCCATTGGCTTCTGTCTCTATGGCTCCCTTCCCTTTTTTCTCCAGCCATGCCCTCTGCACCTGCCTCCCTGCTCCATCCCTGTGCTCTTACCCAGACTTACCCAGAGTCCAGGGTGTGTTTAAAAGAATATAAAAGTTTACTATAACCTAACATGGGAAAAGGGTACACAGGATATAAAATAACAAAGAGCTTATATGCCTACATCCTTACAGCTAAAAGGTAAAACTGGAATGGCATGGCGTCTTCTCGGTCAGAACAAAGAAACACAAAGACGGAAGAAAAGCCATAAAATGCTAATACTTGGCACCTTGGTTTCCAATCAGAGCAACAAACTAGCTCCAAAGTTCCCGGGCATCCTATAATCTAAATAGATTGGTTACAAACAAACATGTGACTTAGCAAACATCATTAACCCAGTAAATACTGAAGTGTTTTAAGTTGTAACACCCAACAATTTTGAAGGCAGTGGAAACAACTATTCCAAGGTGATTGCTTAGTGTCACGTATGACACATTGAGCATCAGCTTGTGAAAGATAATGGCAAGCCTTTTTCTGGACTGGAATCACATACCACATCACCATGATGCAGGATGGGGCTCATCTCCTTAGCAGTGTGCTGGAAGGTCCCCTAGAGTATGGTGACAGTTCCCCTGAAATGCCTGGCTGTTCCACTCCCCCAGGTTGCTCACCAACTGCTAGAAGTCATTGCACCTCACCAGGGACCCATTAGGCTCAGTAGTCTTCCACTGGCAGCTGTGCCATGCTTCAAAACTCTTGAGATGCATGGTGCCAGCCGTCACTGTCGCATGGATGACTGTGCCTTCAGCATTGTCCACTCTCCTGCAATGCTGTCTCTGTCTATGCACCCCAATGTGCCATCCAGGCCAACATAACTTCTTGCCATCTCCTTCCAGCAGTTAGGGCAACCTTGTTATCACTGTCCTTTCCTCAGGCTACTGCTGTGTGGCTTGGGAGCAGTGAACAAGCAGCTAGACCTTCCACAAAGGGGAAGTAGTGGCAAGTTTGGGGACTTGTCCCACCCCAGGAACAGGTGGGCTTGTGAGAAGTGACCATGAGTGGGGGAGGTTTATGCTTCCATGGTACGAGAGGAGATTCAAACCTGGGTCTCTCAGATACCAGACCAAAACGCTTAACTAGGGATGGGCATGAACCAGCTCACAAACTAAAGTTCATGATTAATTTTGGCTGGTTCGTGGTTTGCGAACTGAAGTTCATGGCAGGTCAACTGACGCAAACTTTCCATTAACTTATAAGCTGCTCATGCGTTTGATGCATGCAGCTTGCACTTTTGAACCTGTGACATTTTCCCCAAAAGCACTTTTCTGGGGACATCTCCTTTTGGGGGCCATAACTTGGACCCCTGAAGTCCAATCTGTACATAACTTGGAGGACATGTAGAGGAACATCCAGAGGAAGTTCCCTAAGACGTTGATGTCTCTAGCTTGCACAGGATCCCTTGTATACATTCCTGACCCTGCATCTGTCATTTCCCCAGAGAGTACTTTCCTGGGGGCACCTTCTTTGGGGGGTTGTAACCTTGACCCCCTAAATTCAATCCCCACCAAACTTGGAGGGCATGTAGATGAGAGTCAGCCAGAGATACCCTGTGAGTGTGGTGTCTCTAGAACACCCAGGGACTGTTCTACCAATTCACAAACTTCACAAAATGAACGTCATTTGGTGCTTAGAAGTTCATGACAGTTTGTGGTTCATTAATTGAGCATACCGCAAACCAAACTGCATTTTCCTAATTCATGCCCATCCCTACTCTTAACCATTATACTGCACTGGATCTCTCAAAAGCCTCTAATAAGAGCCTTGCATGGCTGGCAGGTAAGAGAGGAGGGCAGTCCTCTTTTTGCGGGTGCCCGAAGAGTGATGGAAGGTGCTCCTGAATGAGGAGAGCCTCTAGTAAGGTCATAAGAAAGTAAAAACCATGTTGGATCAGGCCAGTCCCATATCCAGTCCAGCACTCTGTGTCACACAGTGGACAAAACCCAGGTGCCATCAGGAGGTTCACCAGTGGGACTAGAACTCCAGAAGCCCTCCCCACTGTTGCCCTCCAACCACCAAGAATATAGGACATCACTGCCCCAGATATAGTGTTCCATCTACACCTTGTGGCTAATAGCCATTGATGGACCTCTGCTCCGTATGAATATCCAGTCCCCTCTCAAAGCTGTTTATGCTTGTAGCCACCTCCACTTTCTGTGGCAGTGAATTCCATGTGTTAATTACTCTTTGGGTGATGAAGTACTTCCTTTTAGCCACTCTAAGTCTACTGCTCATTAATTTGAGTGCTGAGGAGTTCTTGTATCATGAGAAATGGAGAAGTGTACTTCTTTCTCTGCCTTCTCTATCCCATGCATAATTTTGTAAACCTCTGTCATGTCACCCTTCAATCATTGTTTCTCCAAGCTGAAAAGACCCAACTTCTTTAACCTTTCTTCATAGGGAAGGTGTTCTATCCCCTTAATCATTTTAGTTGCCTTTTTTGCACCTTTTCCAGTGCTATAATACATTTTTTTTGCTGTACAGTGACCAGAACTGTACACAGTATTCCAAATGAAGCTGCACCATAGATTTATACAGGGACATGATGATACTGGCCGATTTAAGGTTGCCAAGTAGACTTACCCGGCCAGCGGGGGGTTCCCAGCCCACTTCCAAATTTACCATAGAGTTTGCCCAGATACCAGAGCGTCACCTCCAGATGTCCCCGACGTGCTTGCATCACTTCTGGGTGATGTCAGCATGTCAGAACGGGCACTTCCAATTTTACCAGAAGTGGCCTGAAAACCATAATTTGGGGGTGAGATGGTGGCCAGCTGGCCAGTGGCAGGGAAGCACCCCCAAAAAAATGGGGGTTCCCCCACCCCCGGCGGGGGTCTTTCAACCCTAGACTGATTTGTTTTGAGTCCCCTTCCTAATACTCCCCAGCATAGTGTTTGCCTTTTTTTTTATTGCAGTCACACACTGAGTCAACATCTTCAGTGAGTTATTTACCACAATCCCAACATCTTTCTCTCGGTCAGTTGCCACTAGTTTGGACCCATCAATGTATATTTATAGTTGGATTTTTGGCTCCAGTGTGCATAACTTTGCACTTGCCCACATTGAACCTCATTTGCCATGCTGACACCCACTCAGTGCTGACACTGACACCTAGACAGATCCCTATGGAGCCCCTCACAGTCCTCCCTGATTCTCACCACCCTGAACAATTTAGTGTCATCTGCAGATTTAGCCACTTAACTGCTTACTCCCAACTCCAAATCATTAATGAACAAGTTAAAAAGCACTGGACCTAGTACTGAGCCTTGTAGAACCCCACTGCTTCCCACCTTCCACTGTAAAAACTGCCCGTTTATAGTCTCTGTTTCCTGTTAATTAAGCAGTTTTTAATCCACAAGAAGACTTGTCCTCTCATCCCATGACTGCTGAGTTTACTTTAGGAGCCTTTGATGAGGAACTTTATCAAAAGCTTTCGGGAAGTCAAGGTAAACAACATCTATTGGGTCACCCTTGTCCACGTGCTTGTTCTCCCTCTCAAAGAACTCTAAAAGGTTAGTTACTCTAAAAGGTGTTACCTTACAGAATCCATGCTGGTTCTTCCACAAAGCTTTTGTTCATCAATGTGCCTACTAATTCTATCTTTGATAATGGATTATATCAACTTATCCAATATCAGCATTAGACTGACTGGCCTGAAATTTCCCTGATCTACTCTGGAACCTGTTTTAAAGATGGCAGTTACATTAGCTACCTTTCAGACCTTGGGAATGGAGGCAGATTTTAGTGATAGATTGCATATTTTTGTCAGGAGATCTACAAGTTCACATTTGAGTTCTTTCAGAACTCTTGGATATATGCCATCTGGGCCTGGTTATTTCTCGGTTTTTAATTTTTCCATCAGTCATAGGATCTCCTCTCTCATCACCTCATCAGGTCTTTCAACACCCCTCCTGAAACTGATAGTTCTGGTGTGTGCCAGCACCTCCCATCGTTCACAGTGATGACAGAGGTAGAAACGGCATTCATCTTCTCTGCCATTTCCCTATCATCCTTTAGTAATCCTTTTACCCTTTGGTTATCCAAGGGCTCCATTGCCTCCCTGGCTTGTTTTTTTGCTTCTATTGTTGGTCTTTATATTTTTTCATAGTGAACACCTGTCTGATCAACAACTTGCATTTTATTTGCCAAATCCTGTGCTCCCTTTTATTTACCTTCCTTGGATTAACCTTCCACTGCTTAAATCTTTTTATTGCTTGCATTACTTTGTTTGTTAGCCATGCAGGCCTTCTTTAATATCTTTTTGTACCTTCCTAACCTATTTGTCCGTTTCCTAAAGGACAACTCCCCTTTCACCTCCCAGGAATTCTTCCCTCCTTCTGTGACACTCTGTCCCTCCTCAACATGCACCCCTGACCACCATCACCACCCTGCTCACCAAAGGCACAAAGATTTTCCCTCTTGCTCCTTCCTCGCCAGAAACAGCCTGTGATTTGCCTGTGCAGGAAAATATGGGCTTTTGAAGCTTTGCAGAATTTTTATTCAATCAAGCCTAACAATTCAATTCTAGCATACTTTTAAAAGCCAACAGTGGGCAAAAGTTCTAACTAATTAGAGTATATTTATGCTGGCCCTGACCTGGATGGCCCAGGGTAGCTTGATCTCATCTAGGGTTGCCAGGCGGCACCTGGAGACCTCCCACTATTACAAGTGATCTCCAAGGAACCAAGACTCCCATGGGCCCAGAAGTGACATCAGCATATCACCGGTGAGGCTGCTGCGTCACTGATCACCCAACCTGGGCCTCCTCCCCCAGC